TGTCCGGTTCTATACCTCATCCTATCTCTTTTCTCTCTCTTTCCTTAACACACGCTCACACTCATACGCACGCACACACGCACTGCATATAAGCCTACTTTTCGCTTTCCTCTTCCCATCTGTAGGCCTACACTTATCTGTTCTTTTGATATGATAATTCTGTTTCCTATTCTCCCATATAACCTCTTTGGCTATTATCTTCTTTACTTTCTTCATAATTTCCTTTTTACCATTTTTTCTGTTATCCATTTTCTGTTCTTATCTCTCACTCTTTCTTCAGCATGAGCGAATTAAATTCACTCTGGTTTTTACATTTGATACTTATTTCCGATTCCCATGTAAATGAATATATTTCTCTCAAAGCAGTCTTTAGTTGATGTCTTATATAAATCAGTGTACTTCAGGGTCCTTGTTGCATAGTGTTCATAAACTTTTAAACAACATTGATCGTTCATTTTCATTTCTGCATATTTATCTGAGTTGTATTTATATGTCACTTCTGTCTATTGTCTCCCTCTCACCTTTCCTTCTCAATGTTTATTCCTTTGCATAATGTATCTAACGTCCCTGCCATAACAATTACTTTTGTTTTCTCTTCATGTGTCTTTTTTAATGTATTTTTTCAATGTCTATATATTTTTTAAAACAATGTATTTCTTTATATTTTCCTCTTTCTGTCTCTCTTGCTCTAACCACTTTGAATATCTCCCTTCTTTAATAGCTACTCGTCAAATTTCTCATTCTATCACTATGTCATTAGTCCGCTTCCCTACCTCTTTTTATTACTCTTCTGATGCCTCCCTCTCCCCTCTCTCTATCTTTCTTTCCTTCTCTCCATCATCCACTTCCATTGCTCACTGGATCTCATCAGTCTTTTAGATGCTCCGAAATGACAGTTCTGCATGGCTGAGCTGGCTTTAATATTTGATGACTGCGGGATGGGGCGAAGCGGCAAGCTGGCCGGTCCTGTCGTGCCGTTATTAGCTCGTCCCCGCCAATGTTCAATTTTATTCCGCTCCCTACACCCCACACTCCTTAGATCAGGGGCGTACCCATTCACATTCCGTCAGGGGGAGGGATGAAGGGGTAGGGTTGCTAGCTTTTAACAATTTAAACCCCCTCCCAAGTATACCATGATGTAAGCTACATGTCTTCGCACCATAACTATAAACACTTATAATGGGAGCTGTAGAAGACGTTTAACATAAAAAAAAAGGGGGGGGGGGGAGATGTCTTCACAGGGAAACACTCATTTACCCCTTTAGCCTAATAGGCTCAGTAAACCATATGCTCTCCGTACAATATATCACTCTAATTGCTCTTAGGTGAATATAACGCGATGTCACAAAAGGGCACATTCTTCTATAGGTTAACCTTAATCATATTGATGGTTAGACAGTTATTAACCACCACCCTGTGCCAGAAAAAGATACATTTTTTTTGATATTGGAGATTACGATTCTATGTTCCCTGATCTGAACTATAGATATATTCTATTATTTTAAACTTCAGTTTATTCATAGTTTTTTAGATTGTTTTTCTTCTGATGAGGTATATTAAAACCTTAAAACTTCTTAGAAACCTGTGATTTTAACATTTGTTGGTTTTTATGCTTAAATTGTTTTGCTACTTCCATGCTGATCATGTTTGGGGTTATGTGTATTGATGAATGAATTTCAGGCACAGACGAAATAAAGCATGACCTCTTATATCTTTTATATCACCACCCATTTCATATCTCCGTCTGAAGCCCGTGATACCCATGCAACTTATAATTCAATTTATTCATATTCTATATAACGGGACGTCTTCTTAAATATAATCGGATTTGATAGGAGGGGGAACCCCACCCCTTCCTCCGACCGACCTCTGCGTAATGTGCCCTTCCCCATCAGTTAAAATGGCGCCGCCGCTTCATTTTGAGATTGGAATGACCCTAGTTGTGAAGTAGGGACCTATCGGGGGCATCATCACTATTCAACAGTACTCCTGTACATATTTTAACAAAGATTAACCACCCTCTTCATTCACAAACTTTCCTCCCACTGCCTGTACTGTTCCTGGTAGCGATGTTTTTGGGTGTGTATTCATTGATTTTATTTCTCAACACTTCTATTCTTTTTCGTACATAATGTAGAAGCAAAGCATTTTCATATAGTCTTGGCTTATACAAACTGAAACATAATTTTAATAAAATTTCTTATCATTTGAAAAACAAAAATAAATATAGCATAATTCATAATTCGGTATTCATTATTTCACAATGTATGTGATATAGCACACTTAGAAATATAGCACAATCACAAAATATGAAAATATTATTATATAAATAGCTTGAACGATTTGAGTGTTGGAATTGATGTGAGTTTTGTATACTCTTTTCCGAAAAGATGGAAACCTAGAATAATTGATGGAATATATTCAGCTACTTTTATTCTGTTTTATTCTCGTATTTTGATTGCTTCTTTATACAATTATCTTCTTATCAATGAGTATATTCATTATTGAAAGGCAGGTTAGTTTCCATAAATGAAAATCATAATTTAGTCAAACTGTCGACTTCTCATGCACAACGCAACGTCTTTATACACAGGCATTATTACCCTTACTTAAAATCCAGCAGCTGTCCTTAGCTTTTTCGGCACATTGATATCAATCAAGATGACATAGATTAAACTTAGAATTGAATTTTTAAATCAATATTCTGTTGAAGAAAAAAAATTATGTTCAAATATCTGTATGAAAATCAACATCAAATTTTATGAAAATAAATGTAGTTTATTGGGAATGTTATTACTTCATAACCACTTATAGGAGTAACAAAGGAGAATCGTATTACAAACAAGGAAGCTAGTGGTTATGGCAAATGGGTTTACTCATGATCATTCGGAGAGCAATAAATTATATTTCTCTCAACATCACTGTCATCCTAGGCGTTTGTTCAAACATTTGTTCGCCCTTTTCCAATCCTAATTCTGACATATTGTCTTGCATGGCTCATCATTTCGTACCCGATTATCCAAATATGCTAATGATAGATTTATAACTCCCGGACCTTTAAGCAAATTTAAGACAAAAAGGGAACGGATAAGGGGAAAAAAGAGGAGGAACATAATTACGGTTTTAGATATCACAGAGAGCAGCGAGCCGAGCATGCTTGGTAGCCCAAGCCGAACACCGCGGCGGGGAAGCTTCGGCCCGTCATGTCGAAAAGACCGAGGATTTTCTGACTGTCCCATCTCTCTCTCTCTCTCTCTCTCTCTCTCTCTATCTCTCTCTCTTTCTCTATCATCTCGATGGCGGCTTACACGCGCAGCTGATGGGATCTGCCGGTAATTAAAACAAAAGCAATATTGCTCGCCTGAGCCTTCTTATCTGTTTAATATGATTTCTCTTTTGAGGATAATCACACTTGCACTCTTCCCGCTTTGCCCCATTTTTGTGAAACACAAAAACATCGTCATCATCATCATCAACTGCGGTATGAAGTCTTTTAGAAAGTAAATTGCTTTGCTTTCATAGCTTGCCGTTGGCAGACCTTCTCATTTTGTGTAGGGTGGGACCACGGCGCCACCAAAAGTTGTGTAAACTTTTTGCTTGTGTAGACAGTATCCTTCTGCATAAAACCGTGATCAGTCGCAATAGGATATTTTTTAAAAGGTAGACAAAAATAGGGAATTTTTTTTCTCTATAAGCAAGACATCATTCAATGGAATAGTAATGCTTTTATTTATAGCCCTTTCCCAGAATTACACTTTCGGGTTTAGGGATAATATTAGTCAAGGTTTTTACACGGGGAAAATAAAGTCATGCACATTGTCATAGGTTTAACATTAAACTAGCAATTTTATTGTTGGAAACTATTCTATATTCATTTTGAATTCAGTGAATTCTTGTTCTAAAATTACTTATGAGTTCTGCAAGGGAGACTTCCGTTGATGAAAGTTTAATACATTTGTTTTTCTACCTTCTATACCTTCTAAAAATAATATCAATATTAAACACGGTTGATAAGGTTTTACATCATAGAACTTTAAACTTTAATGGTTTTTACAACAACAGAGAAAATAATGTACTGTATATCAAATTATTTCAACACATTTCATAACCAAGTATTATTGTTTCCCGGCATAGACAAATTGGTCGAGTGTGTTCTTTTTACGAAAGTACACCTTAATGTTGTCTTCCTGGACAAGAAACTGACGATTAGTCAGTTTCATTTTATATGTCCATTTATTTCATTTCGATACAACACGACTGGAATGTTGTTTACTAAAGTTTCTGCCGAATCATATAATTGTCGGAACGATCAGAAACACGGCCCTTCCAACCGCTGAATTGTTCAAAAACGGAAGTTTTGGGCGTCTCATTGTTAACGTAACAATTCTTGTAAAGTGGGGGACAGAGTCAGAAGTCGTTGTAATATCAGTGATAAATCGATGAATGATTTTTCGACTGGCCACCGACTGCGGTTTATGGGCATTATTTATCACAACCACCAAAATAAGCCCGTCTTATTGAAATAAGGATATAATTTGTCTTGTAAAAGAAGCAACAACAGAATTGGTGGCTGGTGCTTTGAAAAGATTGTCTTGTGGAGTGTGAGATGTGTGTTTTTGATGTTGGGGTAGAGGTTAATAGTGGGCTGAATTGGCTAAAGAGGATGACAAAGGGAGCCCAGTGGGGGCAAAAGTATCAATGAATTCTTGGTCGTATGGCGTAAGGCCAGGAGCACTCGGCGTTGTGTGTGCGAACCACCGCCACTCAAGCGAGGACACTCCCACACGTGGAAACTTATTCATGTAATAGAGCCTCTGATTGGCTTATCACACGTTTCGCAGCCACTCGCCTGTGGCGAAGCGCACTGGCCATTGACCAATCAGGCATGGTCGTAGTCAGGTCGATTAAGCGAAACTAAGAGCCTCATTCTACAGTCGCTTTGTGCGGAAATGCCCGTGACTCGTGCCCGTGTGTGCGTGATACTCGAAGCGGAGCACACTCGAGAGGACTCACAGAGAGGCTACGCACGGCTAACTTCATAAGTTGTGAGACACTTTATTGTATTGTAATAATTTCCCGTTCGATGGATCTAAGAAAAACGCGTGTCAAGAAACACAGACTTGTCATTCAAAGCATCTTCTCTCATTCAAGACGTTCCAACCTCTTCTTCTTTCTCTCAATCGATGGACAATTTTCGTCCAGTTTTGCCATACCTGTGAAAAGATTGATGCGGTTTATACGTGTTATCAAGTTCATACAATATTCATCGTGGAGTCTGTATTGCCGAAATTTCTGCGAACAATTCTTTTTCCAACCACGGGTCGTGCCTAAGGACCTGATAAGTTGACTTTAAATCGATTTTTTACCTGGTCCAACGATTAGGTGAATTGTTGGATGACCTGCACTGCACGATAGAACTTTTATTTGGTATGCGTACGCCGCCGACCATTGGCACAGATACGCTATTGAGTTCTAGACCATAGAGTTGTATAGAGCGACCGCTAGACCCATTTTCTCTGTGAGATCGCCGGTGAATGTGGCTCCGGCTAATCGCTTCGCACCGTCAGTTCACTCCGCTGCTCAAGCACAGAGCGGAAAGATAAACGACAAACAAGGGCATCGTCTGCTTATTCTCCAGTCGTGAACTCTCCAGCCCTCTTCCGTCCCACGGACATTTACCCGACAAGGACTCTAACCAACGGACCTTGTCCGTACATCTGAGTTAATTCGACCGAGTTTTGTGGCCTATATGTTTGGAGAGAATAACTTAGCGACCATGGCTTTCCTGCCGAGCCAAGCAGCGTCATGTCAACGGCAAACTACGCCGCCAGGTGCCCCTCACAACCCAGTCACCATGTCGATGGTCATGGATTTTCACCGACGTGCCACTCTTTCACACGGTGCATGTAAGAGTAAGTTTTATTATTTCCGGTACAAGGCTTTGCTCCGAAAAGCAGCCAGGCTAAGAAGTTGTTCATTTAAATATTTATGATCAATCATCACTAAATTTATTTAAGTGAATGGCAACAAATACAAGGCATGATCAAGGCGTTTGCACCAGAGCGTTTGTACCGTCGTACATCTTATTTATTATAATATTAATAATCATAAGAGATACATGTACATGTATACTGCTTCATCATGACGTTGGTTCATAAAAACATATCAGTAAATATAGGCTACAATGTTTCATCATTATATATTCCGTCACGTGCGACTTCGTTTACTATGCGAATAATCAAACCATGTATTTAACTTAAACGAACAACTGATAGTTAATGATCTAGTTTATTGTAATTCGACATTTTATTTGAACGAGCACATCACTCCTGAGTCCTGATAACTTATTTCATGACAATACGCTTTAATTACAATTTCTCGAAACATGAATTTCGGGATCAAAATAAAATAGGCATTGCATCGAATGGTGACGACAAACCTTTATTTTGAGAAGTCACTCGTCTGGCGGTGGCACAATAATGAATCCAATTATGCGATTGATGTAAAAGTACGACCACGAATATTTATAGCATTCTAGTACAATGTAACACCAGTCATATATGAGTCTACTTTTGATCGTTGTATAGTGTAATTTCTGTATTTTCGATTGCTTTTGAAGTCTAATTCTTCGTCGGGCTGTGAATTAAACATTCTTCGAAATTACTACGTGATTCAGTTTGAACAGATCACATAATTATAACTTTAAGCCGTACTCATAAGGATATAACCTAATTCTGCATTTACTCGACTTAAGCCGTTTATGTTATCACACAATTTAATCGTGCATGATCATTAGGAATTTAGTGAAATATCATTAGCCGTATCTTTAAAAAAAAATTTCCCCAGTCGTCAATGGCATAAAAAGATACCACAGAATTGCTATGTTCTGTTATGTTATACGTCTATGGAAACGATGGGAAAATACGTGCAGCCAGCGTACGCTATGTCAATGTTAGTGTGTTATAATAGCACCACAGATCTCCCTCTGTGCTATATTGTCTGTGAATCCAATTTGTAAAATGCATTTTACATGCGGGTAGAATAAATAATGATTGGAAAATCACTTGAAAAAAAAAGTGGAGGATTGTTCTAGGGCGGGCCGGCCAGCAGAAGCGCAGTCTGCCATTGATAATGAATGATGCTTACTTATGTGGTGAAAAATTAATAATGTATTTATGATAATTTCTGCGGCTAGCTTCCAAGCTATGGCAAGAGGCATCAGATATACATTGGTATATCATACAACATGTTGTACGTTTGTGTCTTTTTCTTTCCTACCTGTGAAACCAATTGAGGTTTTTCCGCTGACTTCGTGTGTATAAGTAGGCCTTCAATGATTGTGATGTTTTTAATTGAATTATTGCTGTCTCCCATTATAATTTTATGATAAATAGTATACAGATAAATGGGGCATTTGTAAAGGGACTGTATACGGTAGATTTAGTAATGTTTATTAAAAGAATGGTGGTGCAGAACTGATTAGGGTGAACAATGATTACATTGCCAGGTGAAAAGAGCGACTGTCTATTGAAAAGGCAATATATGGCTGTACAACTTGAATCCTAATAAATACAATGTAACGTCACTTTTTGCTGGATAAAATCTTGATCTCTTGGTAGTTAAGTAACATTCGGCTTTTTCTAACAATACATTTATCTTGAAGAGGGTGTTACTTTAATACCTGTCAATAATAATAGTAAGTTAAACACACGTTTTACTCCATAAGCTAGAAATGTTGCGATGGAGGATAAAAAACAACGCGTAATTAGCTAATGCCTGCCTCATCATGCATGTTTTAACAAATCCAAAACAAACCCTTATACTTTGACCAACTGATCTGTGAAACAAGATACCCTAATGAAAAAATGCCAATCTTCTCCTACCTGAATTAGTTTCATTTCCCCCTCATTACCAAACGTGATCAGCTAGGAATTTAGGGGCATTCATTCCCGACTGATACCAATTTATACCAATTTGTTGATACCACTAAACGCAGAGGCGCCACGTAATTTTGAATGGTATCCGCAGTGGGTTGCCAATCTGCCGGATAAGACACGATCTGATATTTGACTGTGATGATGCCGATATGCATACTCGTTGATGTTATGTTTCTTAAAATCATGTATCATTGGCAATATCGTTATTATTTACTAGTTATCATTATTTTTTAAGAGCATTACATTGCATTTGTGATTACTCTGCTAACGTTGCCACAAAGCTTTAATTGACACTCTTCCCTTGTCCGTAACGCTTAGCATATGTGTTAAAATGAAATTATTTAAAAAAATTGTTTTTAAATTTTACACAAAGTAATAGTAGTAACCATAGTAGGAGAAAGAGTAGTTGAGGAAGTCAAAGGAGTAGTACACTCATGAGGTAACTCCTTCGTATAATAATCGATGTCGGTAATAGAAGTAAAAAAGCAGCATGCTTTTTAGGTTTAATTCTTGAAATCTTTATTTTGAAAAGGCCGTACCGTTCAATCGAAATAAACAGCAATCAAAGGTAAGGATAATTATGACACCACGACTCCCGCTGAAAAGGGGTGGCAAAGAGGAGCAACCATTAATCTTTATGACGATGTCCCTTTTGAATCAACTGGAGAGCAGTGTTATTTATTATATTGTGATCTGAATATTTATAAATATATTAAAGTTTGAATTGAATTATTACAACTCACAGAAATTAACCTCCAAATTATTCCGGTGGTTAGAGTAAGCATATGATCAGGAATTTATTAGCATTTAATCACTTATTTTTGTCGGGGGATATACAATATTTCGTATTTGTGTTTGTGTGATGTCAGCTTGTGGTTTGTGTATCGAATGGCTCTCGCATTCGCGGATCCAAAAAGGCATTTATATTTCATAATCCAATTAATTTTTAAGGCAAATATGCATTCCTAACCCCAACAGAGATACGGTTTGTGATATAGAATATCTTTGACTGCACAGTTCATATTTTCATGATCTAGACATACTGTATGTATATACTGAATTTGGTATTGAATTGTGTACCAATCATTTATTGTATTGCGAAATATAATAGAAGGTCTACATTTCCGCATTTTTTTTTTATAGAACTGTACTACAAAATATTGCGCGGGCAATAAAGATATAATTTTGATAAAATCTATTAGATTATCAAATAAATTTGAAAGGCAAGCCGGATAAATAGATATTGGCTAAATGATGCCAAAATGAAACCATGTTTCATGAATTATTTCAGCAATGCCTATACATTGAGGTCTTACACGCCATTTAATAGGTCAGCGCCGCACGTGCAATAATCGACCGGATATTTACATAATTCACAAGATCAAAATCTAGTTATGACAATTTCCATTCATTACTCTTTTTTATGCGATAATCGCTCGGAAATAGGAAAGGTAAGCGGCTACTCTTGCCGTTACAATAACAAACTGTCCTTGGCTGAAGCTGCCCCAGGCGCCGTGCTTTTTCACCCGACGTTTACAAAACCAAACTCCTTTTCAAGCCCTAAAGTCAACATCGGAAATGTTACCCCAGTAAAAAAAAAAAGAGAAAGAAACGCCGGTGGAAGAAAAAAAGAGAATCGGAGAAACCCGTAGAATGTAAACTGAGTCTTGGCCGCGTGTGCATGAAATACAAAAGGAGATTATAAACATTGCCAATTTTGAAGGGACTTGGTAGGCAGCACCATACGGCATGGGTGAAATAAAATATTAGAAGCAATTTTTGTTTTACCTTATTTCAGATTTAGAGTACCGCGATACAAATTATATATATGGAAGAATGGGTACTCCCAGTTGAGTTACTTGTGTTGCAAGTTGAATTCGTAAAATAAGTCGATCACAGACAGTAAGAAAATTTGATCACCTGGGGTTAATTTTCATGATGACTATCCCGATAGGGAACACAAATAGCAATGCACTTTTCTTATAACAAAGCAAAGAGAAAGTTCAATAGCATTAGGCTCAATCTTTTAGTCATAATGGCGATGAATTATGATTTTATTTATATATGATTATCAGAATGTAAACTCCAGCAGATATGTTTATTATCAGATCAAACTCGCATACTTATGGACATATATATATATATAGTAGCAATGTTAAACAATTTAAACTAAAAAATATCTTCTGTAGGTTGATCAAATTGTATTCCGAACTATTATTGCATTTACATGAGTTGCATTTACATATTACTAACAGATACTATAGTTATGATGTGTACCGTCGTATATTCCGCGTACGTTGTGTGAATATTATTGAATTAAATCCGTATCATATAAATGTACAGCAAAATACCCTTCGCTATTTAAAACAATAGAAACCACCATTAGATTGTGTATATAGCATATATAGGCCTACGTAAATAATGGCGCCATAGCCGAGGCGCCACGCTTTTACGTGCAATGCCTATGTGGTGAAAATGTTCTTATAACAGCGTCCCCATCAACCTGTCAAATCAACTTCGCTTAATATTTAGCGAGTTCCGCTGGACCGACCAAGCCGAACTGATACCTGTATTAACACCCCCATTGAGGTGACACAGACCTTCAACATAAATTCTAATCAATAATGATTAAAATCCAACGTTCGGAAACATGAACTGCTCCCCATCTGTAAATTAGTTAATAAAGCAGATCTGGTGGAATTCATCAAATTAGCAACCGAATCGGAGTGGCTTTGACGTGCCTACATTGTGTCGATTAATAAAGCTGATCAACTTGAAGAATGATAGTTATTGCTGTTCTTTAAAAGATCGTTGGTAGATGTAAATAACCTTGTGGTCAATTCTCTCACTCTTAATTCATATTTGAGAGGTCATAATAATGCTTAGTGGATATTATTGGAGCAATATAATCTACATTTCCTCGTTCGATGGGAAGTAAAAATGGTAATTGCAACTCCTATTTGAAAATAAACTTA